ATAATGTTTATCCTGCTATAATAATACTCCTGCTGTTGGTTCAACTATCGCAGCAATACCCACCTGGCCCTCACTCAGCAATATGCACACTCCAAGCAATGTGCTTCTCTGTAACTTTTCAGCATTTATATGATCTGTAGTTCACAGGAGCCTCATCACTCAGGAAGAGTATTCAGGTATGTTTTCAGGGAAGTGTAAGAAGAAAAGGAAATGAGTGGAGCAGTGCCATAATGCCAAATCCCCATTTCAGTGAGAGGTCAGATGACTCTGTTGCCAGTTCTGATCTGACATCAGATGCAGTATCTAAGCCAGCTCTAATCAGGCTTAGCCACTTGGCATAGTGCTGAACTGTGTGGAAATACCAAAACAATGTAATTACAGCAGAAGGACGTACCAGAACAGTATGTCTCTGAAGTCAGTGTATCTGGGATCATGTTGTGTAGTTATGCTCGGGTGCTACTTTGCATAGTGTGGGTGCACATTTAATGGCCAGTGTTCATAGTACAACAGGTGCACAGTGAAGGATCTGGTAAATAAAAGTATGGAGATGACAAGATGGGAGAGACTTGATAATGGGATGCAGAGACTGCGATTTGATCTGGAAAGCTCAAGGGCTCTGTAAGATGCGGCATCTGGCATACAGGGAGAAGGAAGTGTAGTAGATGGTAGTACAACTTCTGTTGTAGTTGTAGAGGATGGAAAGGAGCATGTGAATGGTATTCTCTTTTGGTATTCTCAGGAGGACAGTCTTTCCTTAAGAGAAAAGAAATCATGCCTTGAACGCTGCTGGAAGTAGGTCTCTGAAGTACACCTCCAGAGGCTGCTCAGGGGAATAGTAAGAGACAGTCTAGACAGAAGAAGGAAATAGATGAAAAATAAAAAATAATACCTTTTTCAGAATCCTTCCTGAAAGAGATACTTTCACTTTTGTATATGTTTGCTGTGGTCAGGATTTTTGGGCAAAGAACAGGATGAATTTAGCTATGGCAGTCCCTAGCCTTTATTTCTCAGATCTAAAATTGGGCGAACTTGCCTTTGATAACAGCAACACTGACTACTCTCTACCTCCAGCTACAAGCATGATAGTGATGCTGGCTGCCTTCAGACATTAAGAGGGGTAAATGGGAGTTCCAGGCTCATTTTCTGGGGAAAAGGGTCTTAATTCCTGAGGTGGGTTTTGGTTTTTGTTTTGGGTTTCTTTGATTGGTTCATTTGCTGGTTTTTTGGGGTTTTTTTTGGTTTGTTTTTTTTTAAGTTTTGGGTTGGGTTTTTTGTTTGTTCTTTTGTTGTTGTTGGTTGGTTTTGGAGTTTTTGCTTTTTTTTTTTTTTTTTTGAAAAGGCCTACAATTTCCATTATCTGAGGTGTTCTTCGAAGAAGCACCTGGAGTAGAAGTCAGAAAGTGGGAGTGCTGAATGGTAAGGTGAGGGGGTCAGGCAGCTCTCCATGCAGCAGGTGGAGCTCCCTTAAGCCTCAGACTTACACTTTCAGAGTCAGAAAATTCAGGGATGATGGTGCCAATTATGTATGCTGGGTGTAGCAGAGATCTGAGATAAGGAGATAATGGTCTTCCTTATAGCAAGAGAAAGGCAGTAGCTGAGAGCAATAGAAGAAGAAAGCAGGAAGAAAGGAAAAACATTTAGTGGGAGTAGGTCAAGGCATATGTTTTAGGATGGTGCTGGAATTTCAGGTCTTTAAACCTCTTCAACAGGTGATACTTCCTCTCTGGGGCTCTGTAGCTATTAATATGGAAGCAAGACATTGAAATGTAGAGAGACAGTCTGGCGCTTAGTCCCTGAGAAGTTTGCAGAGAGGGAGCTAGCTGTGGGAAACGTCCTCAAGGAAAAGTGTTTTGCCCTGAGGCTACAAATGGTGGAACATATTTTCAGTGTTGTTCCTAAGCAAAGGGACCTAGGGAGGTTCAGAGCAAAATGATCTTCTCTGCTTTAGTGAGCTGTAAGAGGTCCCAGTGTGTTTTGGAAGGCTTGAAGATGTTGCTCTTTGTAAGTGTCATGGGATTACTTTTCAGGTTCACCCTGTTGTAGCCTGAACAATTTGATAATGCCTACACTACACGTCTCTTACAGCCTAGGGATGTCAGGATGTCTCTGTACTTCATTAACTTTCTTGGTAATAGGTTTATTACCCAGCTTTGGTCTGGTGACTGCATTTTGTGACCTTTTTTATTTCATTTCATTTTATTTTACTTTTTTTTTTTTAATTTTGCCATCTAGTGTAAGGTGGTTACAGCACTTTAATAACTGAAATTACTGCAGCATTTGGGAAGTAAAGAGTTGATCAGTAGTTAGGCTGATTCAATTCCCTTTAAAAGGCCAGTTACCCAATGACAGGTCACCTGTGAACTTAAAGAGTATCAACAGCAGCCTGAAGCTATTCTACAGTCTACTATTCAGTGAGTAGATAAATTTGTTAGACTTCAATACTAATAGTTCCTCGGGCATCATTACTATATATGAATTTATTCCCTTTTTTTCTGTTCTGTGCATTTCTGTAGCACCTCATAATTTACATCTCTATCATTTCCTTTTACTGTTATTTTCGATAGGTAATACCTCAAAAGTAGACACAATTTTTTCACAGCTAGGCTTCGCAAACGAAGATTTGCGGAGGGCTCTACACACGTTTGTTGCAAGCACGCTGGTGGCTAAAGAGGCCAATACGAGATAGACACATCCAGTTGCAAAAGGCACAGCAGAAGGGCTCCTTAGGTGGTAAATTCTGCAAGACACGATTCTTTCTGCGTTGTCTTTTCTCCTCAAGAGTGATCCTGCGTGATTTCTCAAAAGCATCAGCAGCGTTAAAGATGGTGTGTCTCCAGACCTCCCAACTGGAGGCCAAGATAGTGTGTCTCCAGACCTCCTGATTGGAGGCCAAGACACAATTAGATTACTGAATAATGCAAACCACAAGAGACATTTACAGAGAGGAAAAAGAAAATGCAAACTAATGGCTAGCTCAACCCTCATTAAATACAAAATACAAAATTTATGGTAAAGTTTCCAAATTCCTTAAGTGTCCTATATAGCCTAAGGCCTTTGTTTCAACCCTAGAGCTGTGCAGCCCTTCCATTTAATGTGCACAATAACTGTTCAAGGGAAAGGAGATTTTTGCATTTGCAGACACATATTTATTCAGTAAAACAGTCTCCAGCAATTGGTGAGTAAAGCTGTCCAGATTCTTTCTACCTCAGTAGGACCCGCAGAACTTAGAAACACAGTGATTTCTGAATCCCCTTCTAAAAGTCACTCTGATGTTGGAGACATTTTTATTTTATCTCAACTCAATTTATCCTGGTCAGCACCTCAGATGTCTTCTTTGTTGTAGTTATTTGACATCCATCATCAGTGCACACTATCAGGCTGTTGTATTGCAAAGCACTAAAAATCATCATGGTGAATACTTGTATCCCTCCAGAAGACATTATCATTTTAAAAACTCCTCACAGTGCATGCCACATGAGTATGTTTTAACAGGATAAACTGAAGCAAAACATATATCTTGATTTTACTTCTCTAGTTTCTGAGAGAAACAGGAAATACAAAAGGAAATTAATACATCCAGCACTTTTGGGTAAAAATTAGCTTAGGCGTTTGAAAAGCAGTCACACAGAGAAGAATATGTGCAGAGTCAGAGACTGCAGTGACCTCCCACACTGCGAAGTTCTTTAGAATTACTGAAATTATAAACAAAGTAAAAGCTCTTCTTTCTGAAACAGCCGCCTCGATGTCACTTGTTTCCACATTCCGGCTTCTGTCGCTGCATCCCACACTCTCTCTGTTGCTAAGTGCTTTAGGCTTCTGCAATATGTTCCAGCAGCTCCCTGTATCTCTCAGATCTCCAAATGTGCTATCATCTGAGAGCAGAATGTCTAGGTTTATCTGACATAGTAAGAAAAAAAGATTAAACTGTACAAATTACAGCTTCCTAAAGAACATTAGAATTTTCTATATGAAAAAGAAAGGTCTTTGTAATCTTGCATGTCCTTTCATAACATTTTGTTAGAACATGTTTTCAATTCACTGTAGGATATGTGAGGGACTGTGGCACGTTATGGCTCCTGGGAGCAGCTGTAACTAAATCTTGACTGTGACAATAGCAGCAGAGCGGACTGGGTACTTGCAAAAGCTTAGATCAGTGCTGCCACTGAGCTATGCAATAAAGAAGCTCATAAATAAATGGAAATCACAGGAAAAGTGGAAAAAAAGAAATACAACATTTAAGAATTTACGTGATTTTGTAATTATATTAGTAAATATAGACCTTACATCTATTCATCATTCTGACTTAAACAATTGTTTGGTTTCTTCTACCCTCGTAGCAGACACAATAGTAGCTTCCATTTAGGAGAGAACGTTGTCACAGTTATTCACTTAGCTATATCTGTCTTTTTTTTCTTGGTCAGTAGGCATCTTACCAAGTGCCGTTGTCAGCTTGTGTGCCTTTACCCATCCTAGAGTACAGTTCCACAGCTCTCCCTGTATCCTTGGCTACGGTACCAGTATTGTGATTGCTGGCAGGTTTTGCTGTATCTCTTCCATTCAAGTTAAGATGAGCAACATCAGCTCATAGTGATTGAAGAGCTGTTTTTAGTGATTAAAAACTAACATATGTAATTAAACTGTGTGGGCATCCCCCTGATCAGATACAAGTACATTCTAGGTACATTTTTAGGTTAGATTTGGCATTTCCCAAAGCCAGCTCAAGGTAGAGGCAAAGTAGGAAGTATTTTCTTGAGAAAGTAATCCAGCACATAAGGAATGGATTGGTAGAACAAAACAGTTGATACTAAGGCACCTCATTTTTCCATGGTATGTGTTTTGGGGTTTTTTTCTGGATTATATTTAGCCTGGTCACCAGAGCCAAACACCTCCACTATACATGTGTTTCAAAGCTTTCTGAGAAGAAAAGTGTTAGGTATGTGCTAGAGGACCTTGAGACGATGCAGCTCACACACTATTTTGTAACCTCTTGTCCCCATTAGCACTAGGTTATATGTGGAGCAGATTTGAAGCAGAGCTGCTGTTTTCGTTTCCTCCTTAAGGAATTTAGTTTGTATGCACCAAAACCACTTGGAGAACTGAAACACCACATGGTAAGTGGAGACAATGCACTATTGCTTTGAAACAAATTACTAATGTAGACACAGCCTTTGACAGCTGCTGAGGCAGCAATCTGCTGGTTCTGCTAGGGCCTAGGAGAGGAGATCAGCTGCTTTAAGCTGAATCTGTTCCTTCTGTATAGATCACCTTTCAGTATCACTGCAGGCCTTCCTGCTCTTCTATCGGTGCTCTGTCTTATTCCTTCTCCCACGTCCATTCTCACATGGGAAAAGGTCCCTGGCCTGCCCCATTACCATCTGTGTGGAAGGTAAAGGAAGTGAACTGTGGCTGCTGAAAGATGGTGCAGGCTGTAGAGTGAGGACCAACAGCTGCATGAGACCTGAGCATGGAAATGCCGTAGACAAAGAGAACTGAGAGAAGTGTGCGTCTCTTATTCTGAAATAGCTCACTTGCTAGTGCTGCAAATTTAGATTAACTACACAAATACAAAAGTTTTAAAACCATGTTTCAGCAAGATGCTTTCTCTCTGCCTCATTCTCCCTACCTGGTTGGTAAGAAAATTTCTTGTTAAATCTATCTGGTTTCTCCCGGTTCCTCGGCCTCTTCTTTGCCTCCAGCCATGTTCTTTTAATAACTGTGTGCTGAGACAAGAGATATCTTGCCTCTATCTTCATTCCCTCAGTTAGTCTGAGACTGAGACCAAAGCTGATAAACACTCTTTTCCGTAATCAAAACCCAGGATGAGATGTTCTGTTGCTTGACATCTTAAAGCTTCTGTGGAGGGCTGGGATTAGGACATCCTCTACCCTACCCACCCCGGGTTACTTTGAAGCAGAGAAAAATACTAGCCAAGGCAGGCAATATGAAGCAAATAACAACTACAGAGCAGTGCAAGAATCAGCTGAAAAGCATGCTTCATCCCTTTCTACCTGGACAAAGTAATGGCATGGCCCCCACCAACCATGTAAGGTACATGTAAGGGACCTGCACCACACTACTTCTGCTTCTTTTCCCCTGAAGCACTGGTTAAACTATGTGGATTTTACAGTGTACTCATATACTCAACTTGCTAATAATCAGCTCAGTGTAAATATCGACACAGTGCTGCAGAGAAGCCCAAATATCATCATAACCATTCCCTTGGATCTCTTCAGCATGGTGAGGAACAGAGAGAACAAAGATGCCAGAGAACAAACAGGTATGCTACAGCAAACATGGAAGAGCAAAATGGAGAGAAGCAAAACTGTGACAGAGCTGGTAAAGCTAGGGTCACCTGAAGTCACCCAGCTGGACCGATATGGTGGAAAAGTAATGCCCTACAGAGCAACTACAGATCCACAAGAGGTGACACCAGTGATACAATTTTCAAGACTTTTCTATGTTAGAAAGACTGGGATGGAAAAAAATCAGGGGCAGTAGTCAAAACAGTTTTAATTCAGCTGACAAGGGCCAAAAGCAATAAGTGTTTATGTAGTTCATCAGCTAGCATCCAATTAAAACAAAGCCAAAAAATAAAACACCAGCCGTAAGGGACAGCAGTTTGACATCTTTGCTGATATGCTCCTATGAAGGGCAAGGAATAATGTGGGTAGAAGCGACCCGCAACTCATGTGTAAGATCAACCTAGGAAGCACCGAGACATGTTGCATTGCAGTGCTGTGCCTGCTAGAATTGCAGAAAGACAACTCTCCCATTCCCTTGTAACAACTACAAATGTCTCTTTAAAGGCAGTATACACAGATGCAGTGTATTCCCTGAACTCTATTCTTGGTATGTTACTAAGATACGCCTGTTTCTATGGAGAGCTTATTGGTGGGCAAAATAAACTATTTTGATGAATTATAAAAAAAGATAAATTAATTTTTCAAAACAAAATATTCCATGAGAATGCTAGTGATATGAAATCACACAAATATAGACTTTCATGTACATAGTTGCCTCTTCTTTTTTATTATTTTTCTTTTTAATTTCTAGTAGACATTTATCCTAAATTCTGTATCATCTAGAAACTGATATAAATTATTATCAGTCCTGCAAAATAGTTAACTAACTGTAATAGTCACCTATGTAGTGGCTACAAAAGCTCCAACTGTATATTTCTTTGTTTTTAAAAGGTAAGTATAATTGTACAGCAATTTACTGTGGATTATGAGTATCTGCATGACCATGAATATGCCATGTTGTGAACAAAAGAGCTTTGAAATAAGAACAGTAAAGGCAAAGGAAGAGAGAACAAATAAGTATGTTAAATAAAGCTCAGCATTTAATTTTAACATGCTTCTGTGGTAACAGCTAGACTCTACAGATGACAAGTAATAGATATGTGGGGGTTTGTGGCATTCCTGCTTCTTTTTTGTTTATAGCTCTAATTATTTTATTCTGTGCTGAAACAGACCTTGAAAAATGCTGCTCTTGACTTAAAGAACAGTTTACTTGATCAATCAACGATTTGGCAAAGTAAGAAGCTACACAAAAAGAAATCAGTGAGGAATTTCACAATGAAATCAATTGGAATTTATGAGTGACCTCTTTTTTTTTATCTTTACATCTGTAAAAATTATTAATCTCATTTGAAGATGCACTTTGGTATTTTCAGTGTCAGAAATATTCTATAGGTTACATATCAGTTTAATCAACCCTAAATGCATATGTAGGTATGTAAAGTTTCTCACTGGCACCTACAAAGCAGCATTTCTTTCCATGAGCAGATAGAAGCTGCCATCTATATCCTTCTGGTTTTATGCCACCCTTTTTTCTCTCTCACTTGGTTGGAGTTTTCCAAATCTAGCACCAACATATGAATATACACATGGCTGCCTAAAGCAAGAGGATTCATAGGACAGCAAAAATTAGTTAAGAGAAGCCTGACTGATCTGGCTGTGCTGATTTAAAAAAAATTACAGGCCTCACTGCTCTGTCCCTCCCATGTGCCAGAGGGTGCCATCCCTGTGGGAGGTGTGGCAGAAGAAACTACAGGCATCTGACTCACCTGCCTCAATGTCCTCACTGGTGGTTAAAGCTAATTGCCACACTATACGGGGAAATAGGTATGGTTGCCGTCTCCTCTCCCTCAGGGTGTAACAGCTTGCAGCAGAAGGGTAGGGCAACTAGCTGGGGCAGTAATGCATTAAAAAGTAACATCTTAGTTCTACCTATCTCCCTTGCGTAGTTAGTGTTGATAAGATTGTAAGACAGTAAAGGCCTTTGGCCTAGACTGCCAGATGAAGCCCTACATCTACTTACCTCCTAATTTCCTGCATCCTTTTTCCATATCTTCTCTTTTGCATTCTCTTTCATCCATCCCAGCTCTCCTCCTACCTTAGTGCTTGTTTTGCAAAGGCTAATTACCACTGACTTCTCCAAAGCTACCATTGTAAATTTGAAAGCAGTCTGACAGCCAGCTTCCCATGCACAAAAAACTCCAAAATGTAATTGATTTGAGCATGCACACTGATCTCTAGAATACATAAGGAATTCTCTGCACATCAACAATATATTGTATACCCTTGTCTTGTGGCACACAGAACAATGTGCGCAGTACTCAGTCCTCACTGAAGTAGTCTATGTTTCCCTCAGCCCACTTAATTATGTCCCAAGATTTTCTACACCTCGTTTTATCTCCATTCACTATGCACACTGGTTCCATTTTCATGTACCTTTTCTCATAGTCTTCAAATTCTCTACATCAGATTTTAGCTCCGGTCCCACTTCTTTTATTCCCATTCTACACCTTCCCGTCCAGCCTAAAAAAGATTAATTTGAGAGTGATTTGGTTTCATCTTCGCTGGAACAGATACCACCTTTCCTACAACAAACAGGTTTTATGTAGCAGGATTAGAGGAAAGTCATGACTGAAAACACTTTCACTGAAGTCCTAAAATGCTCTGGATAGAGCAACCATTACAATAAGGAAAAAAGAAGTTTGACACCTATAGTCTTGTAACTGCAGGAGTCTCTGTGTATTTAGTACTTAAATTTCAAATTCACTAAGTATTTTGAATTGGCAATGGTACAAATGGTACAAATGTTCTGAGATTCACTGATGGCATTTCTAATCAATTCAGTGAATAATGACAGCAAATTTCTATGAAGCAGTTTACTGGCAATGAAGAAGAAAGAGAAAGGCTTGCTATTCTGTCTGAGACACTGAACCTGCATGAAAGAAACAGAGGAGAAGAATAGGAGTTTCTTCCCTGGATGTTTCATAAAGGGAGAAGTGTATCCATGAATGGTACTTGAAAAGGAGAAGCAGCATACACAAGTGACCAGTTTTCATTACCTGCAGATCTTCATTGTTTTGCTCAAAGTCTTTTCACCAGTTTTAGTCTCCAACACAAAATATGAACAAAAATATATATATTAAAAATTCTTTCTTTCACTAGGCTAGAGTTTAATAATGACCTATCATCTACAACACAAACCTTATTTATAGACAATCTACAGAAAATACTTAACCATTTCCTATCTGAGTATGATAATTGCACTGGGTTGAGGTAGGCCTAATATCTTGTGTTTTGCAGGATGTCCTGCCTTTCAGAGCAGTAGGGAAATAAAAGAGTGCCTAGTGTTTGTTTGCAAACCCAGGTAAAACTGTACAAAAAGTCTCTCTCCATGCTATTAACTTCCTTCTACAAGGATTAAGCTGATTCTTGCTGAAATCAATAGAAAGACTTCATTTACATTAGCCAGAGGAATCTCCAACTGGAGAAAAAAATAATCAAGATAAAGCACGCAATGAAACTAGATTTTCCACTAAAGCAATGCTAAAGATCCCACAACTGGTAGACAGTTTGAAAATTCAAGTCCCAGAAATGCCAGATAAAAATAAAAGCATCGACTCAGTTATTGTAAAGATACAAAAATTATCATCTTCATGAATGATAAATATTCTTCAAAACTTAGAAATACAAGGTGTAAGGAAATGAGAAACAATATTTAATTAGCATTCTGATAGGATATTGTGAAGTTACATATGGTAACTAAAAGATTAAGCAACATAAAGGAAGAAAACAGTGACAATGATATGTCATATGTATGTCATGTCATATATTACAAATAATTATATGCTAATAAATAACAAAATAGAGATAGGGAATACGGATAGGATGACACAGACCTTCCAGTAATGGTAATTTCTCCAGCAGTTCATCAGTCTCCAAACACCTGTATTACTACATAAATGAAAATCTCAAGTGCAGATAATGAACACCGCACTATTTGCACTTTGAGAACACTTTCCTGCTTGGCAAAAAGCAAGGTTTACAAGAACAAATAGTAGCTTTCCCTCTTTCTATGTGAAGTATACAGTGCAACTCAATTAAAGTGCAACTAAGTCAATGACCAGTTATCAGTGACTGAAATCACGGTAGAAATGGCTACAGGTCTTGTTAGCAGAAGAAACTTTTGTTTCCTGCAAGGGTGACCTCCTTCTTGTTGCTACTTCCTGCTTCCATTCATTCAAAGAGGAAGGGGTTTGGTCTTCGACTGAGGTAAGAGAATTTCACTTTTTTTAGCCTAAAGGCCTTGTACGAAATCCAAGTAACCTAGAAAACACTCTATATGAATACCAACTTGGTATAAGAAAGCAAGAAACTATCTTAATTTGATTATTTTAAATGGATTGAAGTTTGCGTAGGTAGAAGACAATCATTACACAAAGGAGTGCTACACAGACTAATATAAAAATAGCTCCTGCTGTGAGGAGAACAATAGCTCTGTTTCTTTTCTCGGAGCACAGATACAATTAGTTAGAGGATATTGCATTCTTCAGAAATTTTTGGCATCCAATAGAAAAAAACAATTGCATTTCAAAACAGAATATTGTATTTGAAAATCATTTCCTCTTTTAATAACCTGCCAAGACTTTCAGTCTTTCCCCTGCAAATGAACACATCTCTTGTAGTTTAGCACAATGCTTTCCCACACTGCTAGCTGATTGTGAGGTTGCTGACTCCTGATGCTGTGACACAGAATTCTGAGCTTGGCTTTTGGCAGGAAAGTAACTGCTTTCCACATACATTGTGTGAAAAATGCATACGTTTCTGTAAGGTTTCCATCTGCCATTATGTGAACTCCACTGATTTAACTCCTATACTTTTACTGTCACAGAAAAACTATGTACTTTTGTTCAATAAATGCAGAGGTAAAGCCGGTATGTTTATTTTCAAAGCAGGAAATCTCGGTCCCCTGACAGCACTGTATTCCTGCTGCTGGATTTATATTCTAATGGCTGATGTAGATTTCATCAGATTGTCCAGTGGCAATAATTCATTGCATGTAACCTGGGTGTATTCCATTCTCACTAGCTTAGAGAGCAGACCTATTGCACTCACCAGCCAATCCATCTTAAAACTAGTTTAAAATATTAATAATCATGAGTAGCTAGATGGAAATATGATTGATTGCTACATAATCTACTAAATAGTAAAACAAATCAATAGATATAGTTATAAAAGCAGGCCTATGGGATAAATTAATCAAAATCAGTGCCTACATTTCAAACTTATGTCTGTCACTCTGTCTTGCTTATGTACTATCTTTTGCCCAGATGTGAAAATCTTTGTCCAGGACATGAAGTAGCGGCAGATACAATGACCAAATGGATATCGAGTGTTATACTGTTACGAACTCTCCTCTCTTAACTAATTATTCTCCCCATTACAAGTGAAAAACCTTAAAATACTCTGATTACACTGCAAACAGTGTTGACCCCTTATTTCTTGGGTTACTCATCCTAACAGCTCTTTTTTTTAGTTTCTTCTTTTGTTTGCCATAATTACTTCCATAACAGAAGTATCAACAGCAAACATGGATATGTATCAAGTAAAACAAGCATATTTTACTGATATATTTAATACTTAAAAACATGGCTTCATAAACTTCCACTTTCTCTCTGTACTTCATATATGGAACGGCATTTACTTGGATGTGCTGCAATAAATGCACTCATTGCTGTGCTGTCTCATGAACTTGTTTCACAAATCATGTATATAGTAACAAACTTGCACACTATCATTTATAATTAGATTACTTACCCAAAATTGAATAAGATAAAACAAAACACACATCATCTTGTTAGCATTCAAAGATTAGGAAAACTGGTAGGTCTAGCTAGAACTGGTAGTTCCTGAGCTTTAAAGGAGATCCGTAAGGAGTATCTTTGCATTACCAGGAAGTTCAAAGCTTGAGCGTCTGCTTTCCCTGTGTTATTAAAGATCCCACAAGTTTTGCAAATGTACATCTTGAAAACATTCAGAAATACCTTGGTAGTCATGTTTTATCTGTAGAAACAGCAAGTGTGTTTCTGAGTCATATTTACTTCTTTTTTATCCTAAACCAATTTCACTAGAGGTTCACTACATCAGTATGAACAAAGTGAATTTCTGTGCATGTAAGAAGTGGTTTCATGCTTGCACTCCTTTTTTAGGCAAGAGCAAATGACTTCTGTTTACTGGGAAACATACTCGTCTGTGTTCTGGTTTCCTTGTGCTGCTGGAAGGGTCAACAGAGCTGGAAGCAGGGGAATTTTCAGCTGGCACTGCTCCTGTGAAGGCAGCTCCCACTTGGCCCTACTGTGGAGAAGGACTGGCTAGCATAAGCTGCACATGGAGTTCCTCAAAATCAGGAGCTTGCTGCTGCTGCAAATTAATATATATGCTGGTCTCCACCTAGACAGCATAGTGCAGATCCACCTGCAGAACGAAGGAGCTTCAGCCTCCCTCAGCACTCACAGCAGTGTGGTGAAGCGAAGACCTGTAAGGCCTGTGAGTGAGTTCAGAGCCTGTGACATGACCTGGCATATTCAGTCAGTAACTCCGGTATCCACGAGGGTGGGCAAAGGCACTGTGACACTGAACTTGAGCTGAAAAAGTAAGAGAGCAGGCACACACTGAGGATCAGCAGATGTCCAAAAGGAAAAAGAAATCAACAATTTGCCAAATTCCGGCCTAAGTGTACCTATGATCTGGTACTTGGGAGTTCAAACCCATGTCACTAAAATCACTTCAGATCTGGCCTTCCTGATAAATCTTGCTCTTTGAGTGGTGGAAATGTGAAAACAACAGATAGCGCAGAATAGCTGGACCTCAAGACTACCGTTTAGGTTTTGTTCATTAACACAGAGCCTAAGAAATGTAGGGGTGGAAAGGGTTGAGCAGTGAGGAAACATACTGGATCACTTTGAAGGGAAAAAGATTCAAAGCACAGGAGGGCAGCGTAGTTGGTGCTGGCAGAGCGATCACAAAGCAGACAAGAGGGATGGTACAGGGACCATGAATGCAGGAGACAAAGGAAATAAAGTACCGCAAGAATAAATATGGGAAAACATGAGTTAGAAATCGATCTAAAAAGCCACACGACTTCCCTTCAGTTACTGATGTCTCAGCCGTGGGAAGGGGGGAGCAGGGGGATACCTCAGAGATGAGCTAAATCGCCCCACAAACCCAGGAAGAAACGCTGCCAGAAACCGGAAAAAATGAAACCAGCAAACGCCCCTTTCCCAGCCTGCCCTCCCCGAAACCGCTCGGGGAGACCGCTCGGGGAGACCCCTCGGTCGGCCACCGGCGGGCAGGGCCTCGGGGCGGCTTCCCGGGAGCCTCCGCCGAGGAGACCCACTTCCTCCCGCAAGAGGAGGCGGCTGCGCAGGGCCATTGAGGAGCAGGGAACGGCAGCAGCGCCCCGCTCGGCTCGGCTCGGCCGGGCTCCCCCGCAGCGAGGAGGGCGGCCCAGTGAAGCGCTGCGACAGCCCCCGCTCCCCGCCCGAGGCATTCCCCGCGGTGCGGGCCCTGCGCTCCGCCCTGACCCCCGCGCTCGCCGCCGCGCCGCCGGCTCAGCCGGGGCCGCCGCCAGGTGTCGCCGGCGCCCGGGTGTCCCCGGCCCCTCCTGCGCCCGGAGCCGGCGCGGCTGGCTCAGTGCGAGCGGGCGGAGGCGTCAGCCCGCAGCGGGGACGCGCAGCCCAGCCCGGCTCGCCTCGGCTCGCCCCTTCCTCGCACGCCCCCGCGGCCCGGCTCGGCTGACGCTCTCGGCACCGTCAGCGGCCGGCCGGGAGGCTCCCGACCACGGCCTGCGGCCGCTCTCCGGCGACGGCGGCGGGGAGCCGCGGAGAGCCGCGGCGAGGCGAAGGCTGCTGCGGCGGCGGGGGGAGCAGCCATGTTGGAGCGGGGAATAAAGTGACTTTCCTCGGGGAGGGAGCGCGGCCGGCGGCGGAGGCGGCTTTCAGGGCAGCCAGGGGACGGAGGGGTTCGGCTCCTGGCGGCCAGATACAGCTTCTGGGCGGAGGAGAAGGGGAAGGAGAAGGGGAGAGGAACCGCCCCCGGACCCGCGGAGCTCCGGCGCTGCTGGTGAGTGGTGGCTGCTCATTGTCTCCCGGCCCCGGGGTGCGGGTCCGGCTCGCGGGGGCTGTCGGCTCTCGGCCTGCGGTGCGTGGGACGTGGCGGGGGTGAGGTGACAGCGCGGAGCGGGGGGAGCGCCCCGCGGGGGGGCCGGGGCCGCCCGGGAGCCCTCGGGGACGGGCAGGGCCGCTCGGCGCCCCCGGCCGGGTCGGGCCGGGCTGTGGGGGATTTCCGCTGCCCGGTGGCCGCTGGGAGCGGCTCCGTGGGGGCCGGGGGGGCAGCTGCGGGAGGCTGAGCCCTCTGCGAGGGGAGCCCAGGGAAGCCGGGCCCGAGGGGTGAGCCGGGGCTGCGAGCCCGTGAGCACCGCCGGAATTTTTTGGTGAGCCTGCGTTCGTCACCGTCCTTTCCCACCGCCTCCACTGCTTCAAGCGAGGCAGCGTTCTCCTGACAGCTCTTCTCCTCGCAGCCTCCGCACGTATGACACATTCGCTCCTATTGCAGGTTTCCCCCCACACGCACACCCAAAATATATAGGTTTCAGTGCGTGGTAGAGGAGTTTTTGTGCCCTGAGCTTTGAGTTCGAAGATGACAGGATACGTGAACACTGGCTGACCCTGAACTTCTGTGAACTCCTCCCTCCCCTTCCTTTCTCAGATATGTAATGGCTTGAGACCAGTGAGAGCAAAATGGTTCTCTCTAAAGGACGGGGGAAAATCTGGTGGAATTACGTTTATTTTATATTTCATGGAAATTTTTTACACCCACCAGTGCCAGTATACCATGTTCACAGGAATGGGTTAGCTGTTGCGTTAGAAGAATGCTGACCTTGATTCCCTTTGTCATTTCTGCAACAATTTTGGGAGCTGGCTGGAGTTGTGTTAAACTCATTGCTGTATTTGGCACTTTACTAATAGTGCTTAACAATATTATGGGTGTTATGAGCAAAAGGGGTATGAGTTACATCATAGTCCAACTCAGCAATTTAAAAAGCATCCATTTCCTTTTTTTTATTTTTTTTTAAATTTTGGTGATTAACTTATATTCTTTTTATGATTTAACAGAAGATCAATAGCAACTTTCTTGTAGCTATCATGGCATAGATATAAGGAGAAGCCTGGTTGGACAGTCTTCCATTTCTTCTCTTCTCCCCCCCTTCTTTTTTAATTGTATTAATTGAACTGGAAACTAGATCACCAAAGGTTAAATACTGGGAAGATGCAGGGCAGAAGAAAATATTTATGAAAGGAGACTTAGTACCGCATTCAGCTTTGTTTTCTTATTAGAACTGGGTTAAAACGAAATAGGTGATTGGGTATTTTATGTGCTTAAGATGTTAAAGAAATTGCCATATTGCTTTGTTGTAAGATTTCTGTGTTCTTGTACACAGCTCTTGTTATTTATATCTGCACTTCAATAAGTGACATGAGGAAAGCTTGTTCTGAATAATTAACACAGAAGTAACAGATACGAAAATGTCAAATTGCATGTTTGAAATGCATAGTGAAAAATTTCCTTAAAAGTTGCTTGTGCTTGAAAAACAAACTGAATTTACTTCTCCAACATAGATAAACCATTATAATATTAACTTGGCATTAAAAGTGACACATAAATTGGAAAGATCAAAGCCTCTTTTTTTTTTGTGGCATTATTTAAATACTGCTTTAACAGTAATGACTCTGACTTAGAAAAATCTGTAGGAAGCAGTGAAGTTCATGCCTTTATTTTGCATATTGTGTGGTGTAACCCTGTGTTTACCTGGGATAGAACTCTACACAAATCAGGAGGTGGGTTCTGCCTACATCCATACCGAAGAGTTTGCAAATTAGAGCCCGCGTTGTCTGAAGCAAATTATAGTTTAAAGGTGGCGAGTCATTTATTTTAAGCTTGGCTAAGGATGTGCATTAATTGATCTTTTTAATATGTAAAATGCAACTAAGGTGTAGTGAAATACTTGATCTATAATTACAAATATAATTCAGATTGAGAAACAGATCAGGGCTGTGTATTTCCCCTGAATGGCTCTGGCTTCAGTTTCTGCCTAGCACTGCAGTGTGAAAATATGATACAGCTTATGACAGGGATGTTAACATGTTCTATATGCCTGTGTTACTGTTACGATCTGGAGCTCTTACAGTAAAATGGCAGAAATTTTTGAATGGCCTACTAACATAGAAAATCTTTGAATTTCTTAAATGACTACCTGCTGCTAGGGAAAAAACCAGAATGCTTCGCTCCTCTTAATAAGTTTTGGTTCAGAGCAGTACATTTGAGTATTTACACCTAAAAAGTGCAGTTGGGAAAGGCTTTGTTGGAATCCGATTCAGTGAACAGTCTACATTAAAATCTTTCCATGAATTTATTCTTTACCCTCTTTTCGTGTTAATGGAAGCTGTTGATATTTCACATACTAATCAGCTTTTATTTGTTATTCAGGGAAGCTAATCAGCTGTATTCTAAAAACGTGTATATACTAGTTGTGTCCTTACTGAACGCATTGTCTGGTAGGATGTGAAAATGGACAAGATCACGTCTAAAAATCTAGCTCAATAACAGTAAAGCTTTTTGAGCATAAATTCACTAAACATTGCTTAAAGTTCTTAAGTTACAGATATCTTAAGTTGTTAGCTGCATGCTTGTTAATGCTTACTTTTTTTATTTTTGCAGCAAGCTCTGAATAGCTGTTGAGGCAGCTGGACAGAACTGTGATCAGTGGCACTTCAGAATTTGATATAATACACTACTGCACAACTTTAGCATGTAAAAATGCTTTTAAAATGCCAAATGTTTACTTGACAGTTAGGCTTCACATCTAAAGAACAAACTAAGCCAGTCTATTGCTAGTGATCACTGTCCTTTTTTTGCAGTGCATGTAATTATAGCAATGGCTTTCCTTCTGAGTATAAGAACTAAATTTTTTTTTTTTGGTTCCTGTTCACATATTGATATAGAGACTTGGATGTTAGAAGTAAAAGTATTTTATATTTAAATATGTTGATCACTAGACAAAAATTTTACTTTTAAAAAAGCAAGTCTGGGCCTAGGAGGCTTTTTAACTTTTTGAATATTTTATATCCTCTGTGTATATCTTCTGGGCCCTAGTAACATTTTTCCCCATGAAGCAGGAAAGAACAGGGCTTCCTCCAGAAATACCTGCTAATGATGTGGGATGTTTTCTTTTTCCTGTGGATTTTGTGAAGAGTTGTGATGCCCTTTTAACAGCTTCTATCTGAAGAGTGAAAGTTAATGCTTGTTTGGACAAATCATTTTTT